TATATATATATATATATTAGTTTTGCTTTGACCCTCCTTGTCAGTCCGCTTCCTGCAGAGATTATCAAGTAGAAGCAGCTGCTGAGGTGGATCTGATTGTTTGTTTGAAGGAGTGAGGCGTGCAACAGTTTTTTCACACACACATCGGTTAACGTTTATACTTAAATTTTTTGTAAGACAACTCGGAGAATATTTCTGTTATTTTTTATAAGTAAAGAAAACACCCCTTTTTGAAACAAGTAAATTCTCCACAAGTGCTTTTTGTTTTGTGAGTCGAAAAACCTCCTCCTAATAAGTAACATCCCCACCTCTACTTAGAGGATGGGGGTAACCTTTGACTCAAACTATGGCTGCTGTAAAACACAGCTTCAAACAACTAAATACTTCTTTGATAACTGTATAGAAGTTTAAAGCTTGAGGGAATGGAATGTTTGATGCTAATTAATTAATGCAAAAAATAGGACATAAATACAAAAATCCCAGTCTTTAAAAAAAAGAAAAATTCTATATGTTAAAAGGGTGTCTAACAAAGATGCAACGCAATAATGCAAAAATTCTATACAGTTTTATTGGAGAAATTTAGTGATTAAACCTTTAAGCCTTTAAGATTATTTATATTTCTTTTCTCATTACGTTTTAGTTTTATATTAACTTTTTTTGTTGTATAGTTGGATGATGATGATGATAATAATAATAATAATAATAATAATAATAATAATAATAATAATAATAATAATAATAATAATAATAAAGCATTTAAATAGTTTATGAAAAACAGCGCCCCTTGTGGTGGAACGGTGAACGTGCGGAACCCCACCAGGTCGTGGACTCGGAAGTGAAGAACAGCGCCATCTTGTGAGTCTGGCTGGTAACACCGTCTGAACGACGTGGAAATTGTTAGGAATCAATTTTGCGTCTTTCCGACGATGGGACAGGCTCTTGCTGTGATCCTCGAATGAAGTCACCGTGTGAAGAGCAGGCCTGCTGCTGAGGGAGACCCCCTCCGGTCGGCTGAACCGAGCGGTCAACGTGTCACCGCAACAGACCTAGCTGGCTAAAAGGCTGGGAGCAAGAGGACCACCGCAGGAGAGGGAAACGTGTTCTTGGACGCGGCAGTGAAAATGTTAGCGGGCGGAAGGCATATTTAAGGGTTAATTTTGGCAGGGAAAGGTCTTCACACAAAGTAGCGGGTCTTCCTAGAGAGCAGTATGCTTCTCATGCTAGCTGGCACTGCTGTTAGCTACATTTAGCTTCTCCAGCTCCCGCTCCGGACTTTATTATCTCCTTTAAAGCTGCATTTTAAAGGCAAATTCAGGTAATGTATGTCCTTGTGTTTCCCAATTTGTCTTCCTTCAAGAATACTCGATTACATCTGTTTAAGTCAAGTAGTCTAATCGTAATACACTTGCTAGCTGCTGTGTAGCTCATCTATTATCAGTAGATCTACACTATTAACGACTGGGTATTAGATTTCATACTTCAATATACATTGATAAATGACATGGTTTAAATTTTAATGTCCATTTTGAAGAAATGCGGGATTATTTATGATTTTTTTTTTTATTAAAACAAGACATTTTGCTGGTTATTATCTGTTATAACTGTAGCTGTAGCTAGTTGTAGTGTTAACATGCGTTAGATCCACAAAAAGCAGATTGAAAAAAAAATCCATAGAATTGTTTATTTTTTATTTTGATTTATTTTTAAACCTGTAAACTGTGCTTTGTATTTGTGTCGAGCTAAGCTGGCTCTATGTTTTGTAGAACTCATTTATAGTGCAATCAAATCTGCATGTTTGTTTTTCTCTTGTATTTTACTGCATCTACAAACTATAAGAGCATCTCTAAGCAGACATTTTTTAATCTTTAAAGGTTGATTTCTCCAAGTGTGCATTGTGTTTAGCTCACTCCTTCCAACTTGGGCCAAATCATCACCAATGACTTCAGTTGCATTTGAAAAAGAAAAAAAAAAAGTTTCCAGATCAAATGAGAAATTGAACATTATTGTGACCTTTTTAAGTTTCTTTTGAAGTATTATTGCAGGGGATGGCTGCAGAAAGGAAGGATCTGCTGTTTAGTGTCTTCAAAACATGAAACATGAGGCAGCCATTGAATTATTAGTTTTGCATTTATGTCTATATGGTTGATTTATGACTCTTTAGGAATGGACCTTCTTCCACATGTCTGTGGTATCAGCTGTATGTAAATAACAAGCTGGATATTTTATGTGTCTTAAGAATTGAACTCACTGCAAAAACAGATACAAAATTAGTAAAAAAAATTCTTAAGATAAGTGTATTTAGCATTAATCTGAATATGTAAATAAGATGATCTGCCAATGGAATGAGTATTTTTAACCTTGAAATACTATAATTAGATATGTATCACTTGAAATAAGAGCCTGCAGTTGTTTCTTATCCTATTTCAAATGTCAATTTTTATTATTGCATTGGCAAAGAGTCTCACCTGATCAATTCAAGACAAAATCCAATGGTTTTAAGAAATTTTGCCCTAATTAGATTTCAGTTTTTTGTAGTGTTCTTGTCACTCTCCAGGACTTGACAAAAAGTTGTTCTTAAAGCGTGCATAGAAGTAAACTATTTTCTGATCAGACGGCACCCCATTGCAATAGGTTGAACTGGAAATTCCTTTGGGGTATTAGAGTATACAAGATTATGTTTGCCAAATTATGAATATCATATTTCATTACACTTCATTATACATGTTTCATTACACTTTCCCCTTAACATCTTTAGAAATGTGCTGAGTTTTGTGTCAGGAATGGTACAACTGTTAAATGTGGATCTGACTGCAGATCTGCGCCCCAATGTGTTTAATCTGATCCGGTTTTCTGCTCGCTCTCTGTCCTCCCTGCAGGGCCATGGATTTTCCGGGCCACTTTGAGCAGATCTTCCAGCAGCTCAACTATCAGCGCATCCACGGGCAGCTGTGTGACTGTGTCATCGTAGTGGGCAGCCGACACTTTAAAGCCCACCGCTCAGTGCTCGCGGCCTGCAGCACCCACTTCAGAGCCCTGTTTACAGTCGCAGAAGGGGACGCCAGCATGAACATGATCCAGCTGGATAGCGAGGTTCGGAATAAAACCCAAAAGACGCCACCGCTCGTTTCTAAAAAGTTGCCTAATGATAAGATTGTTTGTTTGCAGGTGGTGACGGCAGAAGCTTTCGCTGCTCTGGTGGACATGATGTACACATCAACGCTGATGCTGGGGGAGAGCAACGTCATGGACATCCTTCTTGCTGCTTCACATCTGCACCTGAACAACGTTGTGAAGGCCTGCAAACACTACCTGACCACGCGAACACTGCCCTTGTCCCCTTCTGCAGACAGGCCCTCCCATCACCACCCGCAGCAGGAGCAACAGCAGAGGCACAGGCAGCAGCAGGTTGGAGATTTAGGAGCTAATGTTAGCCTCCCAGCTTCTGCTGCTACGTCTAAGCTGCAGCGCTCCTTCCTGCTGCAGCAGCTGGGCCTCAGTCTGGTGAGTTCTGCCTTAGGAGGAATGGAGGAAGAAGTGGCAGGCAACAGAGTGGTGGAACAGAGAGCCTCCTTCCCAGTCAGGCGCTTTCACAAGCGTAAGCCTCCCCTAGGGATTGGGCTTCAAGAGGAACGACCCAGACAGAGGCAGCGGCCCTCTGCCCCCAGCCGCGGACTTTTGGGAGAGAGTGGGGTGAACGCAGAGAGAGAGGATGGAGCACTTCTTTCACCAGACTCCCACAAGATGGGCGACGAATCCAAGTCGGATGGAGCGGTCGGCGGGCCTCAGGACGACCCCCAGATGCCGAGTCAGTCGGACAGCGGACACTGTGAGGAGGAAAGCTTAGGAAGAATGCAGGGAGGGGTGGGGAAGGAGGAGGACATCAGTGATCATGACCAGCGGGATGAACGAGTGGGAGTGAAGATGAAATCTGGAACAGAGGAGGAGGAGGAGGCTGAGGAAGAGGAGCAGAAGGTAACGAAACAAAAGCAAGAAACAGGAAGCTCATGGAGTTTGCTATGTAATTATTTGTTTTTAGATATTAGTCATTATAAATGTCCTTTAATTAGACTTTTTGAAAACAACCAGTTTTTCTGTAGGATAACAGAAATAAAACAATTTTAAATAATGGTGAATGCCTGCTAAATAACACACAATTGGACACACAGGCTTTGACATATCAACAAATCCTCAAAAGTATTGGAATAAACGTCTCTTAAGGAGCCACAGAAATAAAATATACACGACTTTTGCAGAATCCAACAAAGTTCTGGCATAATTCTGGTTGATATTTAGAACCTTATGTCATCGTAAATGGAAAAGCTCAGTTCGTTTTGTTGGTTTCCTGCCACTGAACCAGCTTCCTAACATGTTTCAGAAATGATTTGACTGCTCTGTACATTCAAAAAACAATTTTACTGTTTGTTTGGGATCGTTTTTCTCTCTTTTTTTTATTTTTAACGTTTAAAACAGTCCTGAAGTTTGGGAATCACCATGACCTAAGCTTGAGCAGCAGTAGCTTTGTTCAAAAACAACAGCTGGATGAATGTTTCATGCCGGATAAACCAGATTGACATTAACTTTCTAGAAACAAACGTTTTGTTTCTTCACTCAGGTGGTGGTCAAACAGGAGCCTCTCAGTTCGCCAGAACCTGTGGACGAAAACAGCGACGTCACATCCCAGGCCGAAGGTAGCGACCCGACGGAGCCCGGGTGCCAGGAGGAAGAGGAGAAGGTGGAGCTGAGCCCAGAGAGCAGCGACCGCAGCTTCACCTCTGAACCCCAGCCCAGCTCTGAGTCTCTCCTCAAGAGCAGCATGGCAGGAGGTGCAGGAGTTACAGCAGGTTTCAGCTGCGGCAACGTTCTGAACAACAAACCTGCTTTTAATATTCCCAGCTTCCTCGGAGCCAAGGATTTCAGCAGCGGCAGGTCCGGGTTGGTTGCTGCAGAGGATGCCCTTCCTAACACGACCACGGGAGATGCTGTTTCACATAATTTTATGCTGAGACAAGACACAGCTGCACCATCCGGGTCTGCCTCATCGTCGGTTTTGCAGCCTGGAATGCTAAACACCGAGAGCAGAAACAGCTTTGGAGATAACCTGCAGCCGGACTCTTTGTTCCTCCGCCCGCTGCATGATGGGTTAGGAAACCCAAGAAACGGGGGAGGGGGTGCAAGTGGAGGACGTGGAGGCATGGATCCCTTCAGCTTGGACTTCCAGAGATCCAGTCTGGGCCTCCACTCGCTGGGCCGCCCATCGAGGCCAGCAGGAGGAACTAGTGCGAACGCTCTGGGTTATCAAAGCTTCAGGCGTATCGCTCCAAAAATGAACTCTGGAATGGGAGGAGAAGAACCCGTAGGTGGGATTATTCGTGATGCTGCATCTTCTTCATCCAGTCTATCCAGTCCTCTGCTCCTTAATGAAAGCGGAGGGTACGAGATGAACAGCAGCAGGCCCACCTCCCTCCCACCCCAACTCACGCGGGCGTCGGCTGACGTCCTGTCCAAGTGCAAGAAGGCGCTTTCGGAGCACAATGTCCTGGTGGTGGAAGGGGCGCGGAAGTATGCCTGCAAGATCTGCTGCAAAACCTTCCTCACCCTGACCGACTGCAAGAAACACATCCGAGTCCATACCGGAGAAAAACCCTACGCCTGTCTCAAGTGCGGCAAACGTTTCAGCCAATCGTCGCACCTTTACAAGCATTCCAAGACCACGTGTCTGCGCTGGCAGAACAGTAACATGTCCAACACTCTGCTGTAGAGGGCGGAAAGAAAGCTAGGCTTTTAACGATGCACTCAACATGAAACTCTCCCATTTTTTTCTCTTCAGAATGGTTGGATCCCATCATCTTCATCTCTTTTCTTCCCCTAGATAAATCACTCCTGATCACAAACCAAAGATGAGGATTATATTTTTCTCATCCACACTATCAGCCTGTTCTGTAAGGATAAAACACCTATATTCTTTTAAAAGGACACATGTAGCTTTGATCCCTTGGACTGAATTATGAATAATCTCCTACATTAATGTCACGAGTATGACCAAGATTTATTTTCTCTTAGTTTTAAATGTCTTAATTAGGAAAAAAAGCTTCTTCAGAGTTATTTGGTTTTGAATCACAAAATCAAAAGTTGGATTTGCTCTGATGTGACCGGTGCAGATGTTCTAACATTTTAATCGTACGAAGAATCTGCTGCAGCCTCTAATTGTGGTCAGACCCACTCTGTAAGAACTGACGGAGGCTTGCATGCACAGGTGTCTGCAGGCCTCCTCTGCACATGGAAGAGGAAAATACCTCCTGAACCTTCTCTCAGTTTATTCACTTTATTGGGATTTTATACCAAAGACAAAGAAGAGCATATTTATGAAGGAATTTATTGGTTTTTAACAATCTTTACTTGCTATTTTGTATTAATATTCCACCACAATGATTTCTAGAACCACCATTATTTTTGGAGTTATACTGGTGTCTTGCAGGTTTCCCACCAGGCCTGTATGTGGTGCTTTCACCACCTTGTTTTATGGTTGCTGTAAAGTTTAATACAGCTTAATATACTAAACTTTTTGTTTTCTTTTCTCCACTCTTGCATCACTCTTGATGACCTGCATTACTAATTGATGCGTTTTTATCAGATTGTCCCACATGAACTGTACGCCGCTAGCTGCGTCTTTGGCTAATGCTTGCGTTACCTTTTATTCTCTAGGAAAGCATGTTTCCATCTGTGCCGTTAACGTTTCATTTTTTTTAGAGGATGGATTGAATAGTGCTATTCTCCAGGTCCAAAGCTTAAGTTATTGTTTTTGGACCTTTTTTAAACTCCCTGTCTGCTTGTTCTCCAACAAGCCACCGCAGCCTTCAGAAGGCAGCTGGATTTATACCCAGATTAAATGATATGCAGGTGGACTCATCATGGAGACAAACAGGCTGCATTCCCGGTTTTTCAAGCACATCAAAGTAAAGGGTACAAAATATAAATCACACTTTGTATAAAAAGATGTCGAAAAACCATGCTCTATTTTCCTTTTTCTACAAAGTTATGCAATACTTTGTGTTGATCTGTGACATAAAATCCCAATAAAATACATGGAGGTTCAAATACTGGGATCCTTACGGAGATAATGAACGAGAGTTTTAATATTTTGAAAGCATTAGAATCTGGGGGTTATATGGTGCTTATTGTTAAGCTAAATATTTGTGAACCTGAAGGAAGAAAATATGTTGCTGATAAATTCACTTGTTGAAAGTTTATTGAAAGAAAGAGGATTCATTGTCATTGTCGTCCTTGACAAGTGATATTAGTGCTTTTTAGTGGTTCACTCATAAAACTGAGAAGGTAAGGATTTTTCATTCTTCTCTCTACCCAAAATCAAGGGACGCTGAGGCAAGACAGCTAAAATAAATCTAAAATCCTAAACATTAGTGCCATTTCAGTACCATGTTTTACCAGAAACCACCCTGTAAATAAATCCTCTTAGTGTCAGCAGTTATTTATATTTGCAGTTAAGACTTCAAATGTATAAAAGTTCAGCTCTGACCCAAAACAACAAACCTCTCCGTGGTATGGCAAAAACGGGTTCCTCCTGGTTAGGGATATGCTGTGTTTCCTTATTGAAATGTACATTTCTGTTGTTTGAATTGAGTTTACTGCGTTTTTTAAACGATATGTTAAAAAAATAGAAGAAAATTCCTCACATTGCTGGTCTGTTTTTCAACCTCAGATCTGGTAAAAATCCTGTTAAATTTCACATTTTTCAGTTTATTACTGTACTAGAAGTTGATGTTTTCAACTTATTTATTTTTCTCTGATTGCTTTGAATTCAGAAGCACTTGCTGTGCATTCAGACCAAATGCAGTGTCCATGGCGACGGCAATGGATTTACATACTATACCTATGTAAACCAAGTTGGGAAGCAGCCAGCGGTGAATCCCACGCGGTGAGGGCGTTCCTGCTCCACTCTAACCTCATGCTAATCAGTTTAAACGGAGTTATAAACAAACCGCAGCACCACCTGGAGTAATCGCTGAAGATGAGAAATCTGAACTCTCGTCGGAGCAAACAATCAGAGCTGTTGTAGTTGTGACGTAGATTAAATGAGTGCGAGACAAAGCTTTTTTTCCAGTTAAAATGGAAAAAAAGAGGAAATGATGTTGATAACGGATTAAATAAAGTAAGGAAAGCTCTGAAGAGGTTTTTAGGTGGCTTAAAAAAAAAAAGTTTTAATTTAGTTCAAGTAAGTGTGTTAATCATCCTCCCTTACATCCAGTCTGTCATTGCCCACCACCCAGTATTGGTGCTTTTTGCTCAGGTAGATCTACAATAAAAGCACCGCCGATTCCAACGTCCTCCAGATGCAGCTCTGCTGAGCAAAAGTGATCTACTTTTTCAGCGATTCTGGGGGCTTTCTAAATATTTATAGTCTCTGTGAGCCGATTCAAAAATAATGCATAGAGAACCATTTAGCAGCATTCTGTAATATTACGTTTCACCTGTGCTTTTATTGTAAAGTGCCGACAGTGAGAACTTGACATGAAATCACATGGGGTTGCCAGGGGTTACGGCAGATCCAAATTAAAGAATCTAGGAAGCTGATAAGATACTGAATAGTGTGAAACAATCATTCCAGCCACCAAATAAGGTAAAAATGCCCATTGTTATAGTCAATGTCAGCATAACAATTAATTTATGCAGTCATTTGACTAACTAAAAAAATCAATACTAACTTCTGCTGAAATCAAAAACGATTCTATCTTAAAAACCAAAGCAGCACAAATCACAGTTTTACTTCCAAAAATTTGCACCAGACAAACAAGAAAATAATTTTTAGGAATAGCTATACATTGGTTTTTGTTGTTGTTTTTTTTGGAATGCTAATATATGTATAACTAATATCATGATCCAGCTGACCAGCAGTGCTCAGCATCAGTAGCCACAGATAACTCTACTCATTCAAGCGCTTTCTCTCAGACTTTAAAACAGTGAATCAATACGATAGAAGAAAAGTTTTGGAAACCCCAGTAAACCTCCATAACAGGTCCATGCCTACTGTCATGCAGGTTGTTCACTAATACTCTAAGGTTTAATTTCCATTTTGCCAGCACTCACAGAAAAAAAAATATTTAAAAGAAATCTAGTTGGATTTTTTTTTTCTTATATTAATTTTTCTTGAATACCTCTACATCCAGCTCGCTAAACTTTCAAACACTTGCCAATTTCTGGCAACATTTCAGTTACCGGTAACTTAAAAAAGAAAACCCTTGCTGAGGAGATCATCCTCTGTGTCAAAGATTGGTATACGGTAGATTTGACTCCCTTTGGGTCACTCTGTTAGCTGTAAATAAGATCAACTTCTTTGGACTAGACTGTTTATTGAATAGATCTGTTTTAGTGTCTCATATTCTTAATCACTGTATGTATTGTGACATTTCAAACAAGTTGGCACCTTATAGTAAAGTCATTACACTGTCAGCCTGTACATTAAGACTTTTTTATGAGACATTGACACCTTGGTGCAGAAGAAAAAGCCTTGTTAATAATGAATAAAGATTATGCTTTCAGATTTGATGTTCCTGACTTATAATCCAGTGGTAACTGTGTTGCTCTTGTGTTTGCATTCAAAATGGCCAGTTATGGTGAAATGTATGATGTAGGTCGTGTTGTTGGGAGATTCCACCTGTTTGGAGTCCTATTGCTCCTTTCTTTCACACTAAAGAAATAAAATAAATATTGGTTTATAGTATTTGTAATGAAAGCACTTCCTCTACTTCCCCCTGGATAAATATCACAGATTTCTAAATGAGACTTAAGTCACTGCCTTACAATCAATGGCTTTAAAAGCTGAGTTGTGTTTGGTTTGGTTAGAAGTAAAATATTTTTCTTTTACTCAGATACTGTTACCATTAAACAGAAAAATTATTGTCTCTTTGTTGTAAATTATGTTGACTTGTTGTACAGACTGAATAAACCATTGGAACTCTATTAAGCAGATTTTTGAGTGACATTTATTTCAACAGCCCAAGCCTTGAAAATCTGAATCCGGTAAGATTTTTTTTTTCTAATAAAAAACTAAGAATATCTAAATCATACATAACTTTTTTCCTTTATTGGTGTTGAAACATTTTTCCTTTATCAAATCACAACTTCAGTATTTGTCACATTATAGTGATTGTTTAGATTTATTTAAATTCTGAAAGATAAATTCACATTAATGTTTTAACATTTTATTTTCACAGGGATCCAGGTACTAAATAAGATCTATGCTGTTGAGCATTTAACACAAATGCAAATGTTTTTTCGCTCTTCACAAGACTGAGGGAAACTTGTGTATTTTTACAGTTCTTAAATAGAAGCTCTCATAATGGGTAACATTTATTGGAACAAATTATTGTTTCATTAAAGAAATAAATGACACTAAATCTTTAAAAGCTTGTAACTTCTATTACTGGATCCCATGCATTTACTGATTGATGACCCTTAGTGGATCCCAACTTTGAGCCACCTATATAGGGTCTGTATTTTTTTTTTTTTTGTAAAGATAATCCAGACTATGTGCATATAAAATTCTAAGCAGAGCTGTTAAGATAAAGAAGCCAACTTAAGGGAGCTGTGTTTGCTTTATTTTTTTGTAAAATGTAAATGTTTTGTACTAGAATGCCTTAAATACAAACCTATTGCACAAATCTACAAATCTGAGTTTAAAACTGGAAATGCTTTAATGGAACATTGCTATATTTCCTGTAGTTCTCCAAAACCAAGGTCCTCTGAAGCCAGTGTGTTCTCATAGCTGGAGCTCTTTGATCATAGGTTGGCCCCTCAGGCCAAGGAGGAGGTTGTTTGCTGCCAGGGCAGACATGGCGTTACGGGTGCTGTAGGACGCGCTTGCAACGTGTGGAAGAATCACTGCACAATGAGAGAAATGAGCTGATGATTAACGGTGTTGAGCTGGGGTTTGGTCGTGGTTGACAGAAAGATCTGGCAGACTCACCGCAGTTCTTGAGTGTAAACAGCGGGTGGCTGGTGGGCAGGGGCTCAGGGACGGTAACATCTAATCCAGCTCCGGCTATCTGCCCGGTGGACAGAGCTTCATACAGATCCTCCTGGTTCACAACCCCTCCTCTGATGGGACAGAAAGACAGAGCAAACTGATAGAAACCAACATGTGCCATGGATCCATAGTCTAACCTGATAGACATCATACTTTAGAAATAAGAAACATTTATTTGAACACCAGTGAATAAAAATACTCAAAGCATTTCCTAATTTCTTTTTAATGACAAGCTAATGATATGGCATTCTAGGTGATGATACATTTTGAAAGTATTATATTAGGGATGCAACTAACGATTATTTTGCAAATCAATTAATCTGTTGATTATTTTTCCGATTATTAAAAATCGGAGAGCAAAATGCTCCATAAAGAAGAGTTTTTGTGAATTTAAACCTCATGAAACTAAAAGTTTTCTACTTGAGGGTTGCTGGATAGAGCATATTGACAAAAAAGTTTTTGGTCTTAAATGCTATATGCATTTTTTTTTTTTTTTACAATGTTGATATAATTACTGCCCTAAGTGGGTCGCTCTATCAGCTAAAGGCATGTTTTAGAGTTTTTACACTTGTGTTAACGATTAATCAATTTCTAAATTAGTTGTTTGAAGTTATTTCAATAATCAATTAATCATGATTAATCAAATTAATTGTTTCAGCCCTAGATTATATATGTGACAGAAACATGGGGACCGGTTGAAGAAAAGCAATAATAAACAGACAAAAAGCTTTCTGTGTCAATTTATATTTAATGTCTGTCTTTTAAATCAGGAAATAACTTCTGGAATTAACTTTTTTCTATGTTAATTTTTTTCAGATTATATTTTTACCTGAAGCTATTTTCTACAATATTTACACCATCAGCCTCCTTCAATACTATTGGCTACCTATTCAGTTGATACCATAGCTTATTGGGAACCTTTGTGTTGACATCCTTCTATAGTCACATTTCTGTTGAATTGTGTTGTATTTGTTTTTTTTGTTTGTTTTTTTTTTGTATAAATTCTTCAAACATTTCCAAATAATTTGTTTGTGTCGGGTAAACATAAAAAAAAACAAACATGGTTAACTCTTAAAGATTTTGGATATTTTTTAGAATCATTTATTTTCTTTTTTTCCACAAAAAATATTTCTTGAAAACATGAAAGTAAAAGTCAGACTGGGTACCTGCTGGTGTTGATGAAGATGGAGGTGCTTTTCATCTTGTTGAAGAGGTCCTTGTTGCAGATTTCTTTGGTCTCCGGTGTTAGAGCGCAGCATACCAAAAGGAAATCGGACTGCTTTGCCAGTTCATCCATTGAAACTTATAAAAGAAAAACTATTAAAATCATGTAAATCCTGCACAGATAAATGCAATTCCACCTATCTATTCATGAAATGACTTGAAGCTTTAAGAAACTAGATATATTCTCCAACCCGTTACCATTAGAACATCACATACATGCTAAAAGTGGAAAGTAAAAATTTTGGGCTACATGGGATTACGGACTGCTCTATCATTTGCACCTTGAACAAGTTTTCAGTTGCTTTTTTACAGTCAATGGAGAGCTGGTGACTTCTGCTGAGAATACTGAGATAATTTTCCATGCTTTGTCCAAGACTACTGTATTTTGTCATGCTGTGGGAGTTAGGTGATTTGATGCATTTAATGCAACACTGCCTACATTCTTGATCACTGCTGCACTTTATACATTTGTAATGTCTATTTCACTGTTGTAAGCTGTTCATTCACTGTTGAAAAGCTGTATGCATCTACATTTTGTTTTGTATACACTGTGTATACAACATGACAATAAAGTTGGTCTAAGTCTAATAAAATAACATATTTCAAACTCAATCTACCCTGAAATGGTTTGCATTTGGTTTGAAGGTGTGGTTTGTATAAATCACATCCAGTGATTGCAAGAGGGCCTCTTGTTTTAGTCCATATTCAGTTTATGCTATTGGATTTTTGCATAATGTGTGCAGGAAAGAGTGGAAACAAAGGATTCTTAAACCGCCAAAAAGCCTCAACTTTAGCCTCTCAGAAGATAAAGGTTGAACACCTTAAATATCTTGGAGTGGTCTTCGATTCTAATTTAAATTCCAAGCAGCATGGAAAGAGAGTCTCAAATAAAATTAGGTTTAATCTTTCAAACTTTAAACACATAAAACCCTCTTTGACCTTTGAATCAGCAAAAACCTATATCTGTGCCATGATATTTGGCCATATTAACTACTGCCATACCACATAGTCTCACACTTACAGTCTCTCTTTAAGAAAACTTGACAAAAAGCCTTTAGGTTATCATTATTGTAACATTTTAAGTAATTACAACGTTGTAGACTTTGAACGTCATCAGATATTTTTGGATGCGTGTCTTGTTTTTAAAGTTTTAATGGACTTGCTCCTCCTCCTCTTCTAACAGATTTTATAAGCAAAAACACATCACTAGAATAAACATCAGGGCTATAACGAGAGGAGAGTGCAATGTTCAGCAGCATAGGACCAAATTTGGCCAAATGGTTGCATCCATCAGAGTAGTACAGGCATGGAACAAACTCCCAGCTCATGTTAGGGGCGGTGCAACCTTAAAAAAGTTTTAAAATCTACTTGAAACATTGGTTGAAAACTAACTAGATATGTGTTTACAGGTGAATTGATCTTTTTCCTTGGGCCTGTTATCCTCATTTCATTTAGATTTCATGTTATTGGCATCTTATCTGTTTGTGTCCACTATGTTCTCTCTCGTAGTGTCTTGTTTAATGCTCACTGTTCTTACCTGCCTTAGGACGGCGCATGCAAATTAGCTGTTGTGCTAATTCTGGCATTGAGCTGACATGTTGATACATATGCATTGTCCTTATTTAAATAAATAAATGAAACAAAGTTGTTTTTAAATTATGTTAAAGAAAGGAAGCCCCTAAAAAATTGCTTTAATTGGTTCTAGATTTGAAATTAATCTTGACCAAAACATGAGCAGAAAATTTAAATGTTTTATATTCTCCATTTACAAAGCTCCACCATAAAGGTTTGGAATATTTTTAACAAGAATACCTTCCAAAGGTTCCAAAAATGGCTAAAAGGCCCTAAGTGCTCCTGATCTATGTCTTACCATGTTCAGCATTTATGACCTTGGCCAAATCAGGTCTAGGTGCCACATCTGTGTATATGAAATTCTTCACTTTGAACGGTGCCAGCCGCTCAGCTATAGCCACACCTAGGCAGCAACAGAAGAAAACACCAAGCTCACGGATGTGGTAATGAAGAGATGAGCTAATGTAAATTCATTGAGCTTACCTATCCTTCCAAGACCCAGAATTCCCACAGTGCTGTTGGCCAGTTCGTATCCACATAGCCACAGAGTTCTCCATGTACCCCACCCGCCACTGAAACAAGGTACGACAGTTTAAATTTGACCCAAAAAAATAGGAAGTTAGAAACCTGTGATCTAAGCAGCTTACGTCTTAGCTTCATGGGTTGCCTCTATGAGTCTCCTAGATGTTGTAAGCAGCAGAGCTACAGTAAGCTCTGCAACTGCATCTGTCAGGACCTCTGGGGTGTAACCTACACGGATTCCTCTGTTGAGAAATAGACTCAATTATACGAGCCCGTCTCAGTAAAGTAAAATCTACTGGTTACACACATTGAAGGACTGAACTTATTTAAGTGTAATACTGAAGGAAAAGATGGGATCACCTCTTTTTCAGCTCCTCCAAAGAAAGATGATCATAGCCCACCGACATAGTACTGAGCACTTTAAGATTTGGCCCTATAGGAAAACATAGACACTGTTTAATCTAGCTATCATCAAATCTATGATCTATAATCTATCAATAGCAGCACACTGTTCTCCACCTAAGCTAACAGATCACATAGAAGAAGCCACAGCTCCTTCAATCTCTGGGGAGAATTTCTGAGAAGGAAAACTGTAGCCCCATCTTTTTGATCTTTACATATAATTTGCCAAAATAAAGTCAGTGTTGAAAGAAATCAAGAAGTGTATGCCACAACTCATGCAGAAAAGGTTATTCTGATCAGATTAGACCAAACCCAGACCTCTGGCCTTCAGCTGGAACATGGAGTCTTTCTATAGAGGCTTTAAAAGTTTGCCTTCTAACATAATCCAAGCACACATCTAGAGCTATGAGGGAATGGTTTAGATCAAAGCATTATTAAAATGGGGGCTGCACAGTGCCGCAGAGGGCAGCACCACGGCCTTACAGCAAGAAGGTTCTGGGTTTGATTCCTCATTTCTGCATGAAGCTTGCATGCTCTCCCTGTGCATGTGAGGGTTCTCTCTGAGTGTGAGACGGTAATTTGTCCTGTTTGTCTCTGTGTTGCCCTGTGATAGACTGGCGACCTGTCCAGGATGTACCTCGCCTCTCGACCATACACAGCTGGAGATGGGCCAAGCAACCCTTATGACCCCAGCAGGGATAAGCGTAACGGAAAATGGATGGATGGATGATTAAAATGCCCCAGTCAAAGTCCTAAACTAAATGCTGAGAGAATCTTAAACAAGGACTGAAATCTACAAATATTTGTTTAATTTAATCTGACTGAGCTTGAGTTATTTTGCAAATGACTAGAAAAAATATCAGAAGTGCAAAGCTGGAAGTTAAATACCCTAAAAAGAACTGTTGCAGTAAAAATTTAGAAAATAATTCTACAAAGTTCTATCTCAGGGTGGCAAAAATGCTTAATACACTTCATAGCTATGCTAGATTATATTTGTGAAAAAAAATATTTTAAGCTCTCAGCACTTTAAAACACTGCTCATCTTTGAGTTAGTCATCTAATTCCCAGTAAAATACATTGATATATGTGTTTAGGTGAACAATTGTTTAAAAAAAAGTTCAATGGATTTTAAATGCTTCTGCATACCTGCTGCATCCAACAGTTCTGCATCAATCTTTTCAGTCAGCACGCAAAGTAGACCGTCCACACCTTTCACTTTCTGTAGCAGCTCCTTTCTCGGCACAGGGATGTCGTCTGAGTCCCACAGGTCAAACTGCACCCTATGCATAAAAGAATACTTGAGCAATACTTGTTATTTATCAGATAACCATCTATTTAGAAAGCATTACGATTCAACTTGGATATATTTCTCTCAAAAAACACAAAGAATGAAATGTATGTTGTGAGGAAATACCATTTCAAATGCCATCCTGTTAATAAAAGGTAAACATTAGAAGGCTGTCATTCTGTAGCAGGACTTACTGCCCAGATTCCCGCAGGATCTTCAGGCCTTCAGGTGGGATCTGTCTAGTGACATAAACCCTTGGGAGAGTTGACATCTCCCTCAGCCCTTTGGTTGTTACTCCCCCGGGGAAACCCAAAGGAGTAACGGCCATCCTCTGTAGCAGGCGCAGAGCCATGCGGCTGCTCATTGTTGCAAATAGTCTGAAGGTCTCTGTAAGATGAGGTGGTGCTGGTGGAGGTTAGAGCCCTGCTGCAACCATGTGTTCAGTTCTAGCTGTGGATCAGGGGGAGGTTCCCATGTGTGTCTGACCAATCTGATTAAAGGGAGGGTGGCTCAGAGGTCTTGAGGTGAGGGGTAATTTTATTTTGTTAGACCAAAAGGACAGAATGACAAACTTTGTATTTTTCCAGGTTTAAGTGGATGTAAATTTATTTGCATTGCAATGCGAATAGAATTCATGACTTAAAGTCGGATACTCACATTTTCCAACTAAAACATAAAGTGGTTGATTTTTTTTCCCCCAAACAGCACACCAAACTGAACTCGTGTAAATGTTTCACCTGGCCGTTGACCTTTGTTTCTTTAAACAGGAGAGTACCCAAACACATCCTGTTCTTTTCTCCGGCTTACCCTGGATCACTAGGGTCTTTCTGGTTAGCTAGTATTTTTTAATTAAAATATTAAAGCAATAAAATTAAACGTTTTTTTTTTTTGTTAAGTAAATAAAAACTTGAACTGACAACCAATGCTATAAAGCTGAATCACAACTCAAAGAGTCTTTAAGTTTACTACAAAGGGCGTATCAGCCAATAAATCTGAAAGCATCAAACTATTGATGCGCGTTTGTTCCTTCCACCAAATTTTCCATTATGTCACTGTGTGAATGCAAAACAGAAATTATGGTACGAGGTAGGTTATCAAACCAAGTGTCATTGTTTATATTGTGTATTGCTATATATTGCTATTTTATATTGTGTATTGCATTTAGTTCCTATGCTCCACTTATCTGGAACAAACTTCCAGAAAACTGTAAAAGTGTGGAAAGCCTGAGTTCCTTTAAATCGAGACTAAAAACACATTTGTTTAGGATTGCCTTCGACTGTTCTAGTTTAAAGCTTCAACTGAAACATCACTAGTTAATTTTATTATTTTCTTTAGTCCAAGTGCTTTTAATGTTCTTTCTTGTTTCTGCATTTTTTTCTATTTTTTACTTTTTTTTTTCTTGCTTTGATTTTTTTTTATTTTCCGATATTTTAATCATGTAAAGTACTTTGCACTGTCTTTGTATTTAATTGTGCTATACAAATAAATTTGCCTTGCCTTGCCCTTGCCTTGCCTTAAAAACACAACCCTCGACCTACTTATTAGTGTACAAACAAAATCAAATTTCAAATGTATAAAAAAAAAGCAAAAAACAAATTTAAAATGCATTTGTATTAAAATTATGTTGTAATATATTCTTTTAAAATTTTGCTTACATTCATTTTTGCTTTCCTTTATTCTGATATCTTTTAATGAAGTCCATCTTCACAAGGATCCCTGTAATCAATATCGGCATTCTTTGATTTCTCCAGTTCTTTTAATACAATATGCTTTCTGTTTTTCCACCTGCAGAAGGATCTGATCGCCTGCAGAAGTTGAGAACACAGGAGTGTGACTCTGACTGGCTGGTCTGCAGTTTGTGGGACACTGCAGGAAACTGTGCTGGCAAAACTCCTGTTCACCCTCTCTACTTGCAGACATCTCCATCACCTCTCCAGGCTTCCATCTTCAGAAGTTCTCAGACAGTTCTGCATTAATTGGCAGGAATCATAGGTGAGGACGCCTTTGGAGAATAGACAGAGAATACAGAACTTGGTAGAATTGTGCCAACAGGTTTACATTATCATGCAGATACAGAGCAACTGACACTGGTGAATATCCAGGGAATGATGTTGAGATCATCTGGATGTTCACCTTAACAATAAACTGGGCAAAACTGTCAGCACTGGTGCCCTTTACAGGGAAGGGTGTGACTATTAATATAATGTATGTAATGTGTTTATTACAGTTCTTATTGAACTGTAATAAAATCGCTTTACTATTTCATCATTTTGCTTCATTCTATCTCTATTCTTCCACTCTGCAGAATCTGTTAGTTCAATTTCTAACGTTCTGCTCTCTCTGCTTTTTCTCATAGTAGCTTTGCCTCTTCTGTTCCTGTTTGGCTGTGACACCATCCTGGAGAGAAATATCAGCTGTGCTGCTGCCCTTGACACCTTTGTTTATTGATGTTGGAGATCGGCCTGTTCTTCCAGTGTAGCCCTGTTTCTCTGACTGTGACTGGCTGGATGTCTTCATCCTCTGAGAGTTGGCTCAGAGCTCCTCTGCCTGGCTTTCTTGACGAGGCCGCCTTTTACAGTTGGTTTTTGTATCTATGCTTCTGTCTCCTTGAACCCAAGTCGGCCTCGGCAGATGGCCGCTCACACTGAGCCGGGTTCTGCTGGAGGTTTCTTCCTGTTAAGAGTTTTTCCTCTCCACGGTCACCACCACAAGCATGCTTAGTGTGAGGGATTCCATTCCAGTCAATGACTGGATGCAATCAACTGGTTTCCCTTTTTTGTTTGTTTTTGCTCATTTAGAATATTGACAATTTGAAGACATTCTGATTTTAAATAAGTGAACAAAAACGGTTAAGTAATCTAAAATTATCCCTAACACCATGCCGAACACAGAAATAAGCTACCAGGAAATCATTGGCTAAATTCAGTCTCGTGATCACGTTAACCCGGAAGTACTCTGAATTTTTAACCAGTCACAGCAATTCATTCGTTGATGTACATCGCTCACACCGTCAGGTACCCAATTTATGGTTTTACAATACCAATTTAACACATTTTAGAGACACATTTGACATTGTATATGACGGAGGGTTTAATTTCTTAACTAGTAGAATTATTTGGAAAGTTTTAGATATCCTCGTATTAACGTCTTCACTTTTAACGAGTTTATGATAAGTCCTGTTCACCGGTATCCTCCCAGGAGTGACACTTGGTGCTAATCTAGGAGCTAACTAGAGTTTCAGTTAGCATTTCCGTTTTTATTTTCTAACAAATTACTGTTTTATTTAGTTAGTTGTGTCGAGGGCCCTCCGACGGGGCACGTTATCCTCACTCCCGGCTCGTGACAGCCAGCTAGCCCCGTAGCTAACCTGCAGCTGGGCGTTGATTTCAAAACAGAACAGCAAATAATACCACAGATTTTCAATTGTGTCTTTGTGCTTCCTGTTCAGAAGGAAGAGTCGTGATTTTTAGAAGATACCGAAACACCCCCTTCCCCTCACAGCATGGCTGCAGAACTGATGGAGATTGACGATTCTCTGTACAGGCAAGTGTCGGGCTGTTATCTCTCATTAATTAACCCAACAGCACAGATAAACATGGCGGGGCGTTCAGGTCAGGAAATGACGGCGCCCTTCCCCTCGCAGCAGTCCCTAATCCTCACACTTTCTCCTCCTTCTTCTTCTCCACTCAGCCGCCAGCGTTATGTACTTGGAGACAGTGCTATGCACCAGATGGCCCAGTCCTCAGTCTTCCTCAGTGGAATGGGAGCACTGGGAGTGGAGATAGGTTGGTTGGAAATTTATTTTTTCAATTGTAATGTGATTTAAAAGAAACGTTACTAACTACCTTTTTGTATTTTTCTCAGCAAAGAATATAACCCTGGCTGGTGTAAAGGTAGGAGTTTTCTTGATGTTTTAAGCACCTGGGTTGGATTTTTAACTTTCTAGAGTCTCAAATTTCTATTCCTGTTTTGTTTTCTATTCAGTCCCTTACGCTTCATGACACAAAAAAGTGCGAGACCTGGGATCTGGGCTGCAACTTCTTTATCCGCAGCGAGGATGTGTTGAGTCATAGAACCAGGTAATGTGGAGGATGTAGAGGGCAGCTCTTAAAATGTTATTGTGGACTTTTAAATTGGCAGAGGAACTGTACATTTGTGGTTTGTGAATGTAATAAAGAACTTCAGTTTAATTGAAAGCATAGTCTTGGTTTAAGTTTAGTTGATTGCTGGATAGTTGGTCATTTTTAAATCAGAAATGGTTTCCTGACAAGTTGCCTTTTGTATCTCTGCTTCTGTCTGCTTGAACCCCAGTCGGTCTCGGCAGATGGCCTGTTAATAGGGAGTTTTTTCTCTCCACTGTCACTACAAGCATGCTGAGTGAGATGGATTGCCTTTGAGTCAATGAGTCGATGCAATCAACTGGTTTTCCTTAGATAGGAAACTTTGAGGAATCTGACTTGATGATCTGGTGAACTGTAAAGTGCCTTGAAATGACATGGGTTGTGTAATTGGCGCTATATAAATAAACAGAGAATAAACAGTGAGGTTGGCCCAGCTAGAAGAGTGAGGTGTGCGAGAAAGCTGGGACCCTTTTTCCACCTGGATCCCCGCTCTTATTCGCCCTCATGTCCCTGCATTGTCGCACAAACTTGCCCCCACTTCCTCACTGCAACACACTGCTGCGGGGAGTATAACCATCCCTTTAGCCTACTGAGTTGTGTATTGGATCATTGTCTTGTAGTTGCACTCAGCTGTGTTCATATTTGAACAATCTAGCTGCGGATTGGAGGAAAAAGTTGAATGATTTTGAGGTACCCCACTATTGTTCCAGATGCTTTGTTTATTACACATCTGGAAGAAACTGAGCTATGGTATTTATTATGTTTTGGTTGGACCCTGCTGTTTCAGCAGCTGTAGTTTAGGATAAGTTTGACCCTTAGATTTTTCATGTCTTATTTTAAGCATCCTTGCTCATTTATTTTAAGGTAAGTTTGTCACTTTGGTTAGAATTGGTGAAACTTGAACTTGATTTGGTCCTTAAGCAAGAAAATTACCCTAAAGACATAGCATGCTGGTTTTTGAATGGAAGAAGGCAAGCTAAGGTCAAGCTTCTGTGAGCTCCAGCTGTAACCATATTTCAAATGTATGGAGGATGATTAAAGTTCAAGTTAGCTCAGCCGTTCCTTGTCATTTAATGTCGGATGTCAAAGGCTTGTTAAAAGGCTATGTTGTGGTGTTTCAGGGACTAGCTAGGGGACATGCATCCAAATATGTGAGGAAATGCCTGTATGTGTTTCACCCGATACTTTGATCATGTGGGAATTAGGGCTGAAATGATTCATTGTGATTGACCGATTATTGAAATAATCTATTCAGAGTGAACCACTTAGAGCAGTAATTATACAAAAATTGTACTA